TTCAGGGTCCCTAGAAAGGCCTAAGGGTCCATATTGGGGGCCCATACTCCTAAGTACTCCTAACCTCAGATATATGGATCTGAATCTTTTGAGGTTATAGGACGACCCGGGGTTTCCTCAACCAGGTTCATGCATTCTCGTATAGCCTAGTTCCATACCCAAGGGTCCTAGGTAGTGTTATGGGGCATACCTCCCCAAATCGTAATCGTAATTTCTAGTATGGAAACCCTACATTCTACTATATCGGTACTTTGGACCCTTTGGGATAGGGACCACAGGGGGATTCAGGGGATGCCCCAGGAAGTCGTCCGAGCACTACTTACAGAACCTAAACCCTAAACTGCCCTAAACCCCAAACCCTAAAACTCTAAGCCCTGAACCCTATAACCCTAAACCCTAAAAACCCAAAACCCCTAAACCCTGAACCCCAAACCGTCGCGCCATGGGTTCCCAACAAAACGCTAGGACATTTTCAGTTGGGTAGTTACCGTTATAGGAGCCTTATAGAAGGTCTACATACCTTATAGAAGCCTTATAGAAGCCCTATATACCCTAAACTCGCCACCTGTAGGTTTCCAACAAAGCGTTACGCGTCTCCCTAACGCTTGGGGCCTCAGTGCGTAGAATACGGTTCCTTTGAGTGTGCCTAAGGGTTGCTATTCAGGCTTAAAATAGGCAGAATAGGGTTGTGGGGAATATTAGTTACCATAGTTAGAGCAAGGAAATTGCGAGACTGCCCTTGTAAAAAGAAAAAAACGCGCTCTCGCTGTTGAAAGCTGGCGAGCTTGGGCTTCTAGTTGACATGGGCTTTGCAGAAGTTGCGGAGTCGACACCTTGCTTTCTGAACCCTCCACGCAGGACTCCCACTTTTCCATCTTTCCAGCTCGCGCCAACGTGCTGAATCAGATCTGCCGCTCAACCAACGTCTCGCGGTGAAGAGGCTGAAAACCTGGGTGTTCTATTGCCGTACGTTAGGGAAAAAAACATCTAATCATAAGACCTTACTATTTACGGAACTCGAGAGGCCCTAAGCGCCGCTGCCCCCTTGAGGTCTAGACACAGGAACTAAGATCCCAAAACAGATCCCGGAAGCCTTTCTCTTCCGCGAAATCCTGCATTAACTTGACATAGTCTGCTTTGGAAAGTGGGATTTTGGCACCGTCTTTCACCACAGAAAAGGCCCCCTGCCCTGCCAGCCGATCATAATCTGCTTCCGGGTCTTCAGCATACCGCATCGTGAATTGCTCCTTGGGTGCTTAAACCCGAAACCCTAAACCGAAGGGCGAAGCAGTCGGATCCTTCCTTCACTCACCATGGCCCCGATATGGAACGACACCCAAAGCAACACAACTTCAGCACCCCTCCTAACTAGCTAAAGTGTTGTCATGTTTATTACCAGCGATATAGACAGGCGAACAACTCCGACGAACCAACCGGCCAAGAATGGTACCAGTAACCCTTTTAACAGGCCAGTACCCTGTTCTGTAAGCCCTAAGCCCCTAAACCCTAAACCCTAAACCCTAAATCCCCTAACCCTAAACTCCAAACCATAAATCGCCCAAACACCCCAAACCCCCAAAAAACCCTAAAACACCAGAAACCCCCCCCAAAAAAAACCAAGAACCCTAAAAATCCTGAACCCTTATAGGTCCCTTTAAGGGAACCCGTATAGCACCCTTTCAAGGAACCCCGAAACCTTGAGCCATTCTAAGCTCAATGAAAGGTAGCACTAAACCCTAAACTCTAATACCCTAAACCCTAACCCTAAACCCTAAAACCCCAAACCCTCAACCCTAAAAACCCTAAAAACCCCCTAAAACCTAAAACCAACAAAACAAGCTGAAAGAAAGGTACTGGGACCTAGAGCCAGAGACTCCAAGATTCCTAGGGTTTAGGGCTCTAAATTTAGGGCTCTAGGGTTTGGGGCCTTAGGGTTTAGGGCTCTAGGGTTTAAGGCTCTAGGGTTTAAGGCTCTAAATGCAGGAATATACCTTAAATCTTAGCAGGGTTCCTATTCTAATTTAGGGTTTAGGGTTTAGGGTTCAGGGTATATTCCCTCAGATGTCGGTCTCTTCCAATATAGCAATAGCAACGCAACAAAAGGTAGCCACCCAGAACACAACTATCTCTGGCAGAGGGTATATTCCTTAGTTAGGGGATGATGGAGTGTCTGGGGAGCCGAGGATCTTCGCCGATCCACCACTCGGTGATTCCCTGGAACTGCGTCTTCGGTTGCGTGGGAGGCACCGTGCCTAGGGCTTTAGGGCGTTAGGGCTTTAGAGGTTTTTAGGGGTCTTAGGGTGTTTTAGGGTTTAGGGTTTTAGGGTTTAGGGCTTTAGGGTAGGCTCCCAAGGTTTACAGGTAATTACAAAAATCCTAGTCTCCAAGGCGATAAGAAGGCTTTCATTATCGGAACACACCGTTTTAGGGTTCCTTATTATGGTATAAAGCATTTTTGTCTTCAAAAAGGGTAGGGTTTTTGAGGGCCACAGCTAGTGTAAGGACTCCTCCCACGCGAAACCGAACCAAGAATCCGATGTCCGCAGTGATGAGGGCTTCGTCGATGAAGAGGTCGCAAGGATCCGTGTCACCTTACTGGATTTAGGGGTGTCTAAGGAGCTAGAGGTTTCTAGGGTGTAGGGGTGCGGGGTTTTAGGTTTGGGGTTTTGGGGCTTAGGTACTGGGAGAGTGGATCCCTATCAGCTTCCCTAGAAAGAACCCCTTATCCCAGCCTTTTATTCCTTCCTCCACGCTTCCATCAGCGCAAGCAAGTCACTGTTTTCGAAGAGCTTGCTGGCGAGAATGACAGACATGGTGAACAAGTATCGAGATCCCTCTTCATCCACGGCCCAAGGATAAGGGACATCGTTGTTGCCCACAGGTGAGAGGAACTTTGTGATAGGTGACTTTGCCGTAAAAGAAAAGACTTCCTCGCCTACAAAGACATACTTCAAGCCCTCTAGGTGCAAGAGCATGGAGTTACCATCGAATTTGGCCCCATGCTCTGGAGAATGACCCACGAAGACCTTCTCCGCGGAAAAGGAGGTACAGGCCGCCTCTTCATAGGTTACCTCCTCCTCACCTTCCTCTCCGTTCCCTGGGCCCCCGCCACCGAAGAACTTTGAGAGATCAAGGTCTCCCAACCTGGCTTCTTGTTAAGGGATCTTTCTTTAAGTTACCATAATAGGGATCTATAGTAAATAATAGGGTTACGGGATCTTATTTAAGTTACCGTAATAGGGATCTTTTGTTAAATAATAGGGCTTCCTTCTTTGTTAAATAATAGGGCTTCCTTCTTGTGGCAACAAAAGTTAAATCCCCTAACAAGAACCCGGCAAATCCTAAACCCCAAACCCTATAACCCCTATAACCCCTATAAACCCTAATAAACCCTAATAAACCCTAATAAGCCCTAATAAACCCTAACAAGAACCCAGCAACTGGACGACTTTGCCCGGCCCGCCCAGTTCCTCTTCGAGCTCCCCGGCCGCCTTCACCGACACCGCGAAACCAGAGCCGGCCGTCGCCTTCTTGCCGTCCTGAGGGTTTAGAGTTTAGGGTTTAGGGGGTTTAGGGTTTAGGTGATTTCTGTGAGGTTTGCTGCCACTGCTGCTGCTCCTCGTCTTGCTGCTACAGCGACAACAACAATCAACAGAAACTTCTTCTTCTCACCACCACCACCACCACCACCACCACGAACACCACCACGATTACTACTGCTGCTGCTGCTACTACTACTGCTGCTGCTACTACTACTACTACTACTACTACTGCTGCTACTACTACTACTACTGCTACTACTGCTACTACTTGTTGTTGT